GCTCTGAGGGTGATCTTGTGGGAGGAATGCAGAGGTAACGTTTGGCCAGGAGGCTCACTCTGGGGTATGTTGGTGAATTAATCTTCCACCATGCCAGGGGGTTGGTCTCGCTGTCTGCAATAGGACCTTGCAGGTAGCTGTTTAGTTCAGCCTCAAAAGCCTGCTGTTCTGTCAGATCAGATGTTGCAACAGGCTCAGTGTAGGACTTCTTAAAAAAGCTGCCCATTGTCTTCTTAGTGAGCATAGTGAGGCTCATATATGGCTCACATGTGCGGCTGGACCACAGGTCAGTGGTAGTAGCAAAGTATCTCACGTCCTTTAGCTCATTTTCCAGCTTTCCATGACACTCTTCGTAAAGCTGGGACGATGCGGTTTTGGAGAAGTATTTTCTGCCCAGAAGTTCGTACCTGGAGTCAAGCACTTTAAATAATTTCTTAAAACTGTCGCGCTCCACTGTGTTTAGGGGCATCATGTCTTTCACCAGAAAGAATGAAACGGCTCTCGTTATATCCTTGCTCCTTTTGGAACTCACTTCATAAGGAGTAATGGCCACAAAGGACGATGCGATCGACTTCTGCTTTGGTACAGCCCCGCTGCTAGCTCTACTTGTTGATGGAGTAACGTTAGCATCAGCCCACATTTTCATGCTTTCAGTGTGTTCACTGGGATGACACTTTTTTAGGTGATGGAATAGGTTGGTTGTGTTACCAGTTTTGGTTTTGAACGGGCTACGACATTTTTTACAGATCGTTTGAATCTGCACCTCATCGCTCTTCAAAAAGACAAACCACTTCCATATAACTGAATTTGTGCGACCTTGTTTGTCGGCATTTTTGACTACTTGCTCGATGTTTGTCTCACTTTCGCCACTGCTTTCACTCATTTTTGCCATCCTCGTCTCCAGCTTGTTTTGCAAAGTACTGTAGGAAATTTGCTAACTTCGTTCTCTGACGTGCACATTTAAAGCTGCATGTTGATTGGCTGTTGTCGCATATTGCTGCTGTGTGATTGGCTCTTACAAATTCATATCGAGTAAAAATGCAGAGAGCTTATCGTTATTGATATAGATTTTATTGCGATTCGATATTATATCGTTTATCGGCACAGCACTAATGCCATGGTGATGTCACGGTGGCGACACAGCTCCGAGTACAGCTCTGGTCCTCTGCCGACACCGTCAGTTCAGTGTTTCCCACAGAAATACATCCCAATTGTGGCGGTAGCTCGGGAGTGTGTGTGTCGAGGGGGGGCTCATGCTTTCATGAAAGATTTTTTTAAATTAAATATAGTAATGCTATAGTGCTGTTCATCTGACCTGTCCCTTATGCACAAGGTCTCCCACAGCAGCAGCATGCTGTCTGCTGCCCTCCTCCTACACCTCTCATTCAGCTCTCTCTCCCTGACACTCTCTTGCTGCTTCAGCAGCACTGGTTGAAACCAATAAACATTCTGAAAGAATCAACTGGATCACTAATCACTCTGATCGGACTGATCAGCTTTCCCATGTGTTTTTCGATATCCCCTTGGACTAAGGGGGCAAACATTTAGCGTCAGAGTTTATGAACTGGCATTAACTCTATCCACTTGCAGAGCAGTCCGTACACATCCAAGCTATATACAGCGCACTGACCTCGGCAAAAGCTGCATTCAGATGTTAGCTTAGCTAGCCTTACTAGCTTGTTAATACCATATTAGAAGATGTGAATCTCTTTTAATGTTAGAGGATCTGAGCAAGTACATGCTTTAAGCATGGCACTACATTGAAATAAGATTTAACCTGTTTTAAATCAATATATAGTGGTCAGTGTTGACATTGTGGCAACCCACCACAAATAAGTCAACATATGGGGAAACACTGCAGTCTCTCTAAAACAGGCAAACATGGCTGAAATGATGAGGCAGAAGGATTCAAATGGAAAAGTGGCTGAACTTACTTTAGTGATCTGCTCTTCATATTCCTGCCGCAGCTCTCCGGGCTGACTCACTCTGGGAAAACGCAGTGAAACTACACACAGAGAGCAGGTGAAGCACAGTGGTGAGGCCTTTCACCTTTGAATGGTTTTACACTCAAGCCGAGTTTCCATCCAGCTGAGTATGAGGGTAAACAGCTAGCAGACTGATACTATTATGGGATATCTCTGCCTGTATGCGTGCCCGTACCTGCCTGGTCAACCTCGGCTTCTTGCCCGGTGAGACGGCGCTGACACTGCAGTGGAAAGCAGGTCTGGATCTGCTTCCACAGCTCCTGGTTGACCAGCGTGTTGTTCCTGCTGTTTAGTCTGGCCCAGGTGGAAACTCTCTTCCTGCACATTGGACAGCACAGCGTGGCTTTATTGACTGTCTCCAGGAAGCAGCTCTGACAGAACATACACAGAGCACAGGTGTTAAACTGAAATGCAGCTCTTGTCTGAAAATAAATCAACAGACAACAACATCTGTCCCTAAAGGTTCTTCATTCAAACCCTGTCCTGCCAGTCAAAGTATCTAAATGTTTTCTTTGGGTTCCCAGTCCACACAGAACGGGTGAAATACTTGAAATGTAATTGATGTTATCCACGCTCTACAAACCTGTTTCGTTCATAGTTAACTCAAAGTGCTGTTGTATCGCCACCAACTCGTGTTTGATGCTTGTAGTGGTTAAAAACAAACAAGGTACCAGTCCAGAGGTAATATGTAATAGAACAGTATGTAGTTCATATATAGATATTATTTGTAATAGTTATGTAAGGCTGAGCTAAGTGTTTATGTAAGCTTGATCTGTTTCTCTTCTCTTGCTCAAGCAAGAATATCTTGGGCTGTGTCCCCCTTGTTTAATTTATGGGTAAACATCCAGAGCGACTTCCTCCTTAAATGGGGAATGGACATAGCTTCAGCCTTATGTGAACGGTTCATGTGCTCTGTTCAGATTTAGAGAAAGGAAATGTGCGCTAGGTCAATGCGACCTAGAAGTTCATGTACTGGACATCTTAGACAATGCTCGGAAGAAGGGCTGTGGAGCTGGCATGAGACTGTGTCTCTGGCTCAGGCCATAGAAGGCTGTGTAACTGGGAGAAGATAAAGGCTGGGATAGCTGGGTTAGGAGAAGAAGAATTAAGGATGGTCTTGAGTGTGCTTGTGGACCCGGCCGGGTGGACTATGGACTCCGACTGACTGTACCTTGTGACCAACAATGACTGATTGACGCTCTGACAATCTTCTTATTTAATACTTTATCTATCCCATTGCAGGAGGAGTGACTCTGTTCTCTGTTTCCTAACTAGCAGATTACTTATTCAACTACTACTCTGTTGAGAATAATTGTAATATTAAATGATTACTTAAATTGGGATCATTTGTCTGAATTAATTTAGTCGGTATCACATTCTAGCCACGACATGCTAACCACTGTTACCTTGCAGAAGGTGTGTTTGCAGGGCAGTGTCACCGGCTCCATGAAGATCTCCAGACAGACCGGACAGCGGCAGTCATCCAGAGACAGCGGGGCTCTTCCTCTCCTCCCTCTGTCTGACACTGAGGTCACCTCCACTTCCACCTCTGCATCTGAGACTGGGGCCATCTTCCTCCTCGAGCTACCTAGAAAACAGGATCAGAGAGCTTCAGAGACCACAGTCCATGTTCACAGCTAATTCATTTACTGTAAGTTTAAAATTCAGCTCCTGCCTAGTCTGCTCAGTGATACACATCAGGCATAATAACTCTGGTGATCCACACACCATTTTTTTAACAAAGCCTGGAGACAAAACAAATGGCTGATCAGAGTTCAGTCTGTGTGAGTCCTGTTCAAAGTATCATCACCAGAGCTGTGGTACTATGATTCACTGTGGCAACAGGACAAATAAGAGCAGTGCCCATACCAGCTGTGTAAGAATGGCGGTCTTAATACTTTTGTTGTACCTGTGGTAGATGGCAGTCTGCGGGCAAATCTGAAATTATCGCTTCTCTGCCAGTCTGTGCCTGCTTAGCAGGTGTTTTTGATAAGCAACTAGGTTTTACTCGCCTAGGTTTCAGTGCACATGCAGAACTGAGCATTGGTGTTGTTAACTGAAGTCTTTCTCCCAGTATATATAAAAACAAAAGCAAAACAAAGGGACAACTAGCAGCACTCGTATCCTTGTGACACTTCGGGTCAGGAGGTGGAGCTCTGACAGTCACCTGTATTAGGGAAGTAAAATGTTCTACCTACAATTTAATCACAATGGAAGCAGGAGGGCGTCAGACTGCAATTCAAAACAACATTTTTTAAAAACTATAAACACTGAAAGGATTTTTCTGCTTCATGTAAAGAAGACAAGCTAGTGAGACATGTTAGCAGTTATCCATTTATTTTTCGGTCTGAAATACTATGTTGAAAATCACCATCAGTCCAGCCCTCCCGGAATAAACATGGACCCAGCACCTCTCCTCATTTGACCCAAAAGTCCCAGAGCCTACAGAATTGCAGTGATAACACAACAAATGAGCGTCTACTCCGGTCAGTGAGCAGGAGAGAGGAGGACAGGAACAGAGCCAGAGCATTCAGTCGATCGCACTGCCATGGGCACAAACATAAATGAGCTGCAAATGTGCATGCCAGAGTTCATAGTGTTTCATCCTCACTGACAGTTTTCAGTTAACAGTAAGACAACAGGCGATAGAAATACTGTCATATACATCTCTCTCTCTCTCTCTCTCTCTAGTTTTAGCAAAGTTTGGCTTTCCCATTGTTTCCAAGCCAAGGTGTGCGGAGGCAATACGGATAGAAAACCCAATGTCAATTACAGTCGTTTGTCCTGGGTCATTTGTCCCAGTAGTCGCATTCCCGCTGCTGTCAAAAGCTGAGATGTAGAGTTTACATGGGATTTTTGGGCAGTGGGAAAGGGGCTTTAAATTGTTATATTACAGTTACAATCATTTCGTTTAGGTGGCAGTTTTGAGAATGTTTTAAATACTGAATGAACAATAATATAAACAGTACGCACATTTTTTGTAAATATGGTTTGCATGGGTTTAATTCTGACTGGCATCACACCCTTAGTTAGCATGGATGTACTGCTATGCAAATACGTGTGAGGTCATGTGATGACAGAATGCAAATGTGTGACATCATATAGTGACATTTAGTATCTTTTTCCAGGAAGCTTTAGCTATTTTCCATTGAAAATAGTCAGAAACACTGAGCTTCAGTGTCCCTGTGTCTCTGCCAGGCGGTCCATATTCGAACGGTCTGCAGCAGAGCGTTTAAGGCATCCATCTGCATGTCTGAGCACTTTAATCTGGGGATTATCTTGTTTGTTGCATTAAGAGCTTCTGCAGCAATGAGCCTCTCCTTTGTTTGCCGTGTGTTTTGAGTGTTTTGCATTGACCTTATATGGTTAATCATGGGAGCGTTTCAGACGGAATATGCAGCTCACCACACTGCTCACATTATCAGGTTGATTGTGATTTAGAAGAAAGTCACACCCCGTTTTTAGGGGTCGCCACAGCGAATCGTCACGCTGACAACTCACATGTTGACATTTGGCACGTGTTTTACGCCGAATGCCCTTCCTGACGCAACCCTGATTAAAACCCATGGTGCAGCGGCGAGAGCGCTGCGCCTTAACCACTAGCCTACCAGGGACGATCAGGTTGATTGTGATTTATCAAGGGAAATTATGTGGAAGTGTGCATGTGCACCATTTTATAAATCCAAATATTTTTTGGAGTACGCCAATCCTGTGTTTTGTGTGCAGGTACAATTTTTGTATGAATCCTACACAAAGTTTTAGAAATGAAGCCCTAGGTGGCTACCAGTTAACCACCTGTGCATACCTGGTACATATAATGAAATTCAGAGAGAAGACGACTTGTGGAACACAATAAATGGGATTATTTTTCACACTGTCTTTGCTTAACCGTATAACATACCAAATGCATGCAGACAGATGCTTTCATAAATTTTCAAAAGGTATGAAGCTTTGTTTCAATGAGCGGTAAGGGTACCAACAAATGTATCCATGTTTCTATTAGGTTTTTATTCTGTTCTTCCGGCGCCGACAGCGATGGCCGACCGAGGTTACTCGCGCTCTCTTGTGTTTGTTGTTTTTTTGTTTTCTTTATCTTGTGCAACTCATCCAGAGAAGAACTGTTAAATATCGGACAACTCACACCAAACTACCTTCCTCCGATTTTTGTGAACAATGAATGCTGTATGGACATTCTGATCGGAGGCGCAGCCGCGATATACAGGACCTGGAAAAAACAACACCGCCGGCGTGGAAAACGCTCTGGTGCAGTTACGACAGAGGGGAACTCGGACCTCACTCCCATCTATTCACCTGGCTAATCTCCGCTCCCTGGTTAACAAAATGGATGAAATTCTTCTCGTCAACAGGACTAACTCTGACTTTGCAAGCTCTGCTGCTTTGTGCTTCATGGAGACCTGGCTCAGCGACTCAAACATTCTCGACAGCGCGATTCGAATACCTGGGTTCCAGGTGTTCAGAGCAGATTGTGTAAAGGTGCTGACCAGGAAAACAAGAAGAGGTGGAATCTGCTTCTACATAAATGAAGGTTGGTGCACAGACGTCACAGTGCTACAGAGGACGAGTACCACAGACCTAAAGACTCTTGTTATCAACTGCAAACCCTTTTACTCTCCCCGTGAATTCAACAGTTTCATTCTAATGGGAGTGTACATAACACCGCAGGATAACACTAACGCGCTACGGCTCCTAGCAGAACTGATAACTAGCGTGGAGCTAGAACATCCAGACTCTGCACTCATTGTTCTAGGGGACTTTAACAGAGCAAATCTCACCCACAAACTGCCCAAATACAGGCAGCACATCACCTGTCCCACCAGGGACAAAGTCACACTGGACCACTGCTACACAACAATAAAAGACACCTATCACTCTGTCCCCCGTGCAGCCCTCAGACTCTCAGATCACTGTATGGTCCATCTTATTCCAACCTGCAGGCAGAAACTTAAAGCTGCAAAGCCTGTAGTCAAAACAGTGAAGAGCTGGACTGAGGAGGCTAATTCAGAGCTACAGGCCTGCTTTGACTGCACAAACTGGAGTGTGCATTGATTGCACAGATTAGAGTGTATGTGAGACTGCAGCTACAGACCTGGATGAACTCACTGACACTGTGACATCACACATCAATTTCTGTAAGGATGTGTGTGCACACAGAGACCTGCTCATACTGCAACAAGCCCTGGTTCACAGCCAGACTCAAGCAGCTTCGTCATGCCAAAGAGGAGGCTTACAGAAGTGGGGACAGGACTCTGTACAGCCAGGCAAGGAACACACTGACAAGGGAGATCAGAGCAGCAAAGAGGAGCTACTCTGAAAAGCTGAAAGCTCAGGTTTCAGCCAACGACCCCTCGTCTGTGTGGGGGAGCCTGAAAACCATCACTGGTTATAGGAAACCATCCCCCCCCGCTGAGGAGGACCGTCAACTGGCACAAGACCTGAATATATTCTACTGCAGGTTTGACACTCAACACCCCCCCACCCTCCCCACCACAGATCCAGCAGCTGCTCCCCCAACAATCACCAACCTTCCCTCCAGCCCCCCACCTCTAACGATCTGTGAAAAGGATGTGCGTGGCCTCTTTAAAAGACAAAACATCAGAAAGGCACCAGGCCCAGATGGTGTGACCCCCTCCTGCTTGAAAGTGTGCCCTGATCAGCTGGCCCCCATCTTCACACTCATCTTCAACAGGTCACTGTAATGCAGTGAACATGGCACTGCATTACATCCTGCAACACCTCGACTCCCCAGGGACCGATGCACTGGCCCTCTTTGTGGACTTCAGCTCGGCA